GGGGGGGAAGGGTAGACGGGCGGCGGAAACCCTTAGGCTCAGAGAAGCATCGAGAACCGGAAGGAGTCCATAGAGGAAGGTAATGGAAACGGCAGCTGCGCGGTAGAGCCCCACGCCCCTCCCAACAGCGTCCCCCAATTTTCTCACTCGGTATTGAGGCGGATCTCGCGATAACCTCGTGGCTGGCTTACCGGAGCTGTAGGTCTGCAATGACTTAAGGGCAGTTTTGTGCGCTCTTCCTGATATGGGCCCGCCCCCAAACCCACGAGCTCTCGCGAGAATCAGTGAGACACCGGCTGGAACTGGGCGGGCCGCCGTCGGGGAAGCACCGCCCCGAATGCTTATGGTGGTGGGAGGGAGAGGAAATGGAATTCCCCGGACTGGTAAGAGGCGCGCGCCGACACATCCCTCTCACGCGCCCAATCAGGAATGTGCGGTGGGTGGTGCTGTAGACTAATTACTAGATACTTTTAGCCCGGGTTGACCCGGGCTTTTGAAGTTTCCAGTGAAGCAGGTGAGAGAGATTTACTCTCCTGCGGGTCCGGCCCGGTTAACCATTGGGCGGAGGCATCCCTCAGACTGGGAAGGGTCATTTAAAGTAGAACGTAGCGGACCGCTGGTCGGCGCTCCCACCAGCCAAAATCTAGGGTACTTCTGACCCTAGGCCTAGAGGATCAACACTGAGAAGGGCGGACCCACAGCATAGACCTGTTCCCAGAATTAGAGCAAGCCCGGGAATCGAGCTCAACTGTGAATTGAATAGGGTGGAGGATAGATAAAGGCGGGCTGTTTACTGATCTCTGGAATCCACCGCCACCATCCTCCAAGGTGTAGGTATGGGGATAGACTTACTACCTTTTTCCTCCCGTTACTATGTTTTCACTCCTAGGGCCACAGCCTCGCGAAACTCAAGAAGTCAAAGTTTTGGGTCATAAAACTCAATGCTTAGTGAAAGATCCAGGGGAAGAAATATTAGTATAGGATTGGCCTGTGTTAATCTGCTGGATGTGAAGTACGGAGAGGGTGATTTTGCTTTCTAGTGTTTCCTTCAGGCAAAGGTTAGTAGGACAATTTTTAAAAGGAATTTAAAGGTAAACATTGACCGGCTGAAAGTTTTCTAACATTCCTTAATGACCCCACTTAACAAAGTGCAGATCTTTAAGAATTAAATGGGAATATAAACTTGTTTTTTAAAATATACTTTAAAAAAAGAGAAGCAGCAAGTTATTTCCTGTTACAAGAAAGTATTACCTAATAAAAACTTCATAGGTCTGATAAGCTAGCTAATATATACTGTTCAAGAGGCCGTAATAGTGTTATTAGAGCAATTAGTGAAACAGTACTTCTCAAACGAGTCTCTATGGGAATCACCTAGGGATTTTGTTGGAAATGTGGGTTTTGATTTAGTAGGCCAGGTTGAAGCCAGAGATTCTACATTTCTAATAAACTCCCAGGTGATACAGATTATTCTGGTCGGAGTAACTCACTGAAAAGCACTCTTGTCCTACTGGAACCCCACCCCCACCCAATAATCTTTCCTTTGTTCTTTCTTTTAACCAGTCTAATAGAGCAGAAACAAGGATTAGGCAGTTGAAGTGGAGGGAGAAATCTAGGTTTGATTTCTGGCTCTATTCCCATTTGTGTGATATTCTGTGGTTACTTAGTTTCTTCAACACTAAACTAGGCACAAAAGTAGCTCTCTTTTCTCACAGGGTTATTGTGTTGTTCAGATGTCATAATGTATGTGAAAGGGCATTGTAAACTATAGTGCTGTATAAATGTAGGTTATTAAACTAACCAGTGAGACATTAACTGGCCATACTGTGAAACAAATCTGTAAGAATAATAATATAGCTAATATTTATGGGACACATTATGTACCAGATACTGTGCTTGTTAACCCCCTTTACAAATAAAACTGATGCACGAGAGATTGTTACTATCCCAAGGTCATAGAGCTAATAAATGGCAGAAGTAGAATTTGAACCCATGCAGTTGACTTGAGAGTATTTATTGAATGGAATTTCATGTTGTCTCTTAATTTGGAAAGTAGGAGAGTAGGATGTTTTATGTTTCTACTTTCAGTGCCATCTGAATCTAATTTTACATGATTCATTTCTCCCTCTGTTTTGTTCTTTTAGAAGCCTGGGTTCAAGGGTGGTAGGAAACATTACTACCTCTGAGAAGCCAATTTGTATTACCCCAATTTAAACAATCTTTGGTATGAAAGTATAGTGAAACATGTTAGTGCTCTGAATTAACAGAGCACAGTGTACTGGGACAGATTTGAGGTCAGAGTTCTTAAATATTTCTTTGGTGCCACAAACCATTTTGGCAGTCTGGTGAAGCCATGGACTCTTCTCAGAATAATGTTTTCAAGTGTATAAAATAAAATTCATAGAAAAGAAAACATTTTGAAATAGTCTCAAAATATTAAAGAAAAACATTTTTGATGTAGGAATAAATGTGCTTTATTAACACAGTAACACCAAGTAATGGGTGTAGAAAGACCAGGTTTTTGAAATGATAAACATAAATATTTCCAGAGCTTACAACAGTTGTGATATAAAGTATCTGCGATTCTCATTGGTGACACAGACATAGATTTGTTGCTTACATTCAAAATTGAAGGAAATAATGAATTTTCAGTTAGAGATTAGTAAAAATAAAGATGTAATTTATTTTTTTCACATGGAGTTCACACACACCCTGATTTCTATTCATGAACTACATGTTAAAAAAACTTTAGGTAGAGTCAAGTAGGCTTATTCCTGTGATTCATCAAGAAAAAGTTTAATTGCCACCAGTATACTCTCCTTAAGAAGGTGTGGACGCCCCGCTGGGCGTGGCTCAGTGGTTAATCGTCGACCTAGGATCTAGGCGATCAGGGTTCGATTCCCGGTCAGGGCGACATGCCCGGGTTGCGGGCTACAGCCAATCAATGACTCTCATCATTGATGTTTCTAGCTCTCTCTCTCCCTCTCCCTCCCTCTCTCTGAAATCAATAAAGATTTTTTTTTTTTTTTTAAAAAGGTGTGGACATGTGTAATAGGTTTAGGAAATAGTTTATCCCATTTGTTGATTTTTTTTTGGATACCTATAAAATTACCCTATGGAAAATTTACCTATTCAGAATGATTTATTTCCCAAGCATCCTGGATAACTTAGGTTTTACCTTGTCCTTCTTTATTACACACCTATGCAAATAAGATGTGGTGGAAGAAATCCAAAATGAAAATAACCAGAGATGAAAGAAATTGAAATACTATATATTTAAAATTCTTAAAAATAAGTGTTAATAATTATTATTTGAAGTACTATATCCTAGGTCCTCATTATCTCATCAAGTCCCGGTTATACAGATTAAACTCTCAAGTTTATATAATTACTAAGTAATAGAACCAGGGCTTAAACCTAGGCAGCCCGGCCTCAAAGCTCACACTTTTAACCACTAAGCTATCTGATTATTTTTTAACCCGTCAGCTATCAGCAACATTAATTTTCTCATTGGTACAACAAATATACATTTGCTGCCTATTTGCATTCCTTAGTATTCCAAGTAAAATTCTACCCAGTGACTAGAAGGAATTTTCTAAATTCTCCCTTTGCCAGCGGTATTGCTTATATCCAGCACCACTTTTAAATAAGTAGGCTACCAATTGGGGCAGGAAAATAGTTTGTTTTACAGAAATTTTTGTTGTAATAGGGATTTTGCTTAGAAGACGAAGAAATCCACTCTTGCCTTTCCCTACCCTACAAACATACATCTGAAATTAAACATTTATTATATTGACCACTATAAAGATCATATACAAGAAATGATGACATATAAATAAATCCTAACATATGAAGTTCTAGATTATCCATGTTTAATGGAGAAAGTGGTTGTCTAATTCTAAATTCATTTTCACTTGGCACTAAAGTGAATTTATTGGTTTTGTTTGTATTTATACCAGTATTTAACATTTCTACTAGATTTTGCTAAGGTTAAAGTTAAAAGGAACATGGCCTGGAAGCATTTTGATTCTTAAGGAGGTGGCCTAGGATTAGCGCAAACTTTAAAATACTGTTCACATATCTAGTGTTACAGAGAGCCCACTTTCAAATAAAGTTGAAGCTGACTTTATTCACTTGACCTATTTGATCTACAGTGGTAGAAATGTCTCCATCTGAAAAGAAAGGAAAATAATCATGTTTTCTTTATGTTGTAGTTTGCAGTGTGCTAAAAAGATGGTTTTATATATTGAAAGAAACATTTACATTCAGATATTAATGCAAGGGCAAAATGTAGAGAAGACCTAAAAACATCACATCCTTCTTAATGAATATTATATTGAAATCTCAAAAACTTTCTAATTATGGTAGATCAGATTTTCTTGCATGAATTGGCATAAAACATGAGAAAAATATAAAGGATCAAGACAATTAGTATTAAAGTGGCAATGAAAAAATTAATCCAAATAATGAAGGGGTACCAAAGTCTTCATATTATGTGAATGCATCAGTGAAGCCATGTTTGAGTACAGGGTTTAATTAAAATATGAATGAATATAGTTAATGTAGATTAGTACATACACGTATTTTTATTAATATTGCACCTGTGTTTTCAGATCTTGGTAACTTTCTCGTAATTTTATAGCTTGGGAAGGATACTGGCTCTAATGCAGTATATGTGATTTTATTTAATCAAATTGTAAATACTATGGTCCAGATTTTTTATTCAGAATGCATGTTTACATATTCTGCTTGGAATAGGTAATTAGGAACCCTCGTCAACCAATGTTATTTTATACTGTTTGCATGAAAATCAAATGAGTTTCTATATCTTACCTGTTCAGAATCTCTTTTTTATGATCAAGACAAGTCATGTGATTTAGGAAACTGTACTTTATCTCATGCTAAGAACATCATTTTGACCTTAAGATGGTTTTGGCACATAATGAACCATGAACAAATGTTTGAGCTAAAAATACATTGGAACATTTTTCGTGTAAAATCTTGTATACATGAGTGTTCAAGTATCATTATTCATAATAGCCAAAAGTGGAAACAACCGAAATGTCCATCAGCTGATAAACAGATATATAAAATGTAGTATATCCATATGATGTAATAGTATTAATAAGGAACACAATACTGATATATGCTACAACATATATCTTTTTTAAAATATACTTTTTTAAATTGAGTTTAGAGAGGAAGGGAGGGTAGGGAGAGAGAGAGAAACATCGATGGGAGAGAGAAATATCAATCCAT